GGCTTTAAGTAGAGCATATTTTATCCACTGATCTAAAAGTAGACTGGATCGGTTTTTACTATTTGCTCTCTCATTTTCAGAGACATTCCTCAGTTCAGGTGGCATTTTTGGGACACCCTGTCTATAAGTCATTTTCAAAGTTTCTTTTCCATGATTAACACGCACGCATGTGAAGAATTGTTATGCGACACGTATGTTTGATCGATCCCATGGGCAGTTCTCGCTTTCAGCTGACGATATAAATAAAACCATATTTGTATCGCAATTGATGATTCCTAAATTACGTTTTCGTAGCGCTTTGCATTGTGGTTATAGTGGTATCACTGGAAAAGAATCAAAAGATAGCGGCCTCGAATGAAAATATTGAATGTTTTCGTGAATATTTTGCTGTTGGCTATCGCGCACCTGACCCTAGCTTTTTTTAAAAGTTCTTGCACGGGTCAGGACAAAAAATAAGCCATCTTGAATATCAATGATACCACTATAACCACAATGCAAAGCGCTACGAAAACGTAATAAGGGGAATCATCAATTGCAAAGATACGATCGAATATTAAGAAATAAGATATATTTACTATATAAATCGCGTGTCATGCATACAATTCACAATCGTAATATAGGCCTACATGAGCAGGTACTAGAGAATCTGCTGGGCTAAAATTTTGAAAAAAAAAATATATGAAATTTTACTATATATTTTACTTATATTTATCAACTACCTTGCCGCTTTGTGATAAACCGAAAGCCAAGCTCAGCCAGGTTGAGAAAATCAGGATTTTCAACAGAATCTTCACAGACATCATGTCGTCTCCAAGCAAGTTCTGTCTTCTTCCTTCAGCTCCTTAATTGAGACGTAATGAATGCATGTACCTATTGTGTTACGGTTTAGCGTGCACGCCTCTTGAGAACTTGTCAAAAAAGCAATTTTGATAAAAACCAAGCACAAGGGCAGCGCTAGATCTCTTTGAATTGGGTGTAAGTGAACTTTGCCGAGTTATCAAGGCAAGTTTTGCGCCGAGTCACAAATTTTTCCGTTTAACCACTGTTTTTCGCTCCATTTTCCCCTAATTTAGTTTTCGTAAATTTCTTCACATTTTAGCTATCATTCTTAATTTTTAATCGGATCCGCTCGACTATTTTCTTTTTTCCTTCCTATCCGAATCCATGTTTTTCAATCATGGGATTCAATATTTTGCAGACTACCTGATCACTTAGGGGGAGGTGTTCCACCGCCGGCCCTGACAAACATAATTTAATTGCAGACTACAGTATGTTATCTCACTTGGATGGGTGTTCACTGATTATTGATTTCCTTGCATGGTTCAGCAAAAAATAAGATTTAATATTTGTAATTTCATTATTATATTACTTCATGAAATGCTAGTTTTCTACAGTATTTCATGACCAAGTACGAAAAATCGTTAATCAATTTTTACGATATAATAAATATATCTTGGGTTTATCAAACGTCAGTCAAACGAGGATGAGAGTTGGAACTCGTTTGACTGCCAAGTCTCATCATCTCTCATCAACTTTGAGATGGTTGAAATTTTGATGAGAGTTAATGTGAGCTTTGGCTTGCTTGACTGGTAATCTCTGGTCAACTTTCATGCGACTCTTGTACTTGCGGTTTGACCGGGGCATGAAAGTTTAAGGAGACTCTCATGCAAACTCTCGCTTGTGAACCCCAGTCATCATCTCTTATTATTCTTCGACCGGATTCTAATTTCGAAATCATTTTTTTTTGTGTAGTTTGATAATGATGAATTTCAAATTAATTAATCCTCCAAGTCAGCCTCTTAAAGAAGAAAAATTATTCATACAGGTAAATACACTTGAAATGTCAAATTTCATTGATAATTCGACATTATCCACACAGCATACAATCCTATATGGCCAAGTTCTGGAAGTTTTATAAGATCAGGCAAGTTAACGTAGCATCATGGATTATTGCAGATTTATTTTGGCAATTCGAAAAAGATCATTCTAACTAGTCGACTCGTGCTACAGAATAACCAGGAAGAATTTCCTTGGTCCACTTCCAAAGATACACGTTTTTCAGCGTACTCCCAAGCTGGGTCATTGTTATTCAGTTACATTTGTGACGTGACATGCACGTTAATGTCCATGCAAGTAAATTGATAAATCGAGGTATATAGTGTACATGTGTTTCTTAGTTGGGAAGGGGATTACTCGAGTGGGTGCTTCGAACCCGCAACCTTCGAAACCCTAACTCTTCTGTATATATCAGCATCGTATCGATTGACTTAAACACTATATATACAGGGTGTATAAAAAAACAACTGAACAGATATGAATTTGCTCTCAAGTAGTAGGGAAACGCCGATTCTTGGCCGGTAGGATAATTAGGGATAATTAGGGATAATGAGGGATAATTTTGGTCCACTAGGATAATGAGGGATAATTTTGGTCAAAATCAATCAACCCCTGCGCACCCCTTCTGCGCAGATTTGGATCACGTGACCTATGACGTCACTTCCGGGTTATTAGATCACGTGACCTATGACGTCACCACGCCCTCCCCCAGCCTCCTCGCCAGCCTACCCGCTCCGAGCTTTGGGTAGTCTCGCCGAAGTCTTACATAAGTCTTACATAAGCCTTGCATAGGACTTTCATAGGTCTTACATAAGTCTTACATAATTCTTACATAAGTCTTACATAAGCCTCCCCAAACCTTACCACCGCGCACCCCCCACTGCGCAGATTTGGATCACGTGACCTATGACGTCACTTCCGGTTGAGGGGAAAAAGCTGAGTCAGCAGTTTTTGAATTTTTTTTTTTTGTATATAATAAAAAGGATGTCAATTACCAAAGTCTCAGACTTCTTCAAAGACTCGTTCGCTTTCGAAGATGCCGTCGGAAACAGTTACGGGTCCGAAAAGGTTAAATTAACGGCACGAGATTAGGGTCCACTTCTACTGAAACTTGAGGACTGCTTGTCCTATGGGGTGAGCAAGAACAACAAGTTCGGTAAGGACAATTACTCCATCTCCCTAGCCCTGAGGGATAAGAAGGAGTTTGTGTCAGCCCTGGAACTGGTGAAAAAGGAGTGCGCGGATCACGTTGGTAATCCGGGTGAAAACATCATGAAATGTCTTTACCGGAAGGGTAGCGCTCCAACCCTATACGTAAAGATCGACAACGAAACGGAAATTTACCCTCCGAAAGGGGACGAACCCGTCGACCACAAGAAATATCAGGACATCGATGCCATCGTCAAAATCGAGAGCATCTACGTGTCCAGCAGCGTAACCTCCATCCAGGTGAAGCTGCACGAGGCAAACATACTGGAGGAAAAACCCAAAGCACCCAGGAAGAGGCTTCTACAACGGAGGGATTAATCGGATACAGAGATCCTAACAGAAATCAATTTTAATGTTTGTAAGAACATTAAAATTTAAAGAGCATCAATACCGCTGACGGGTAAGCTGTTCTCGTACTCAACAGGCATAACCGATCGGTCTTTCCACCGTATCCTAAACAGATTCCCCATACCATAAGAGCGAGCACGTAAAGACGGTATGGAAAACACCCACGATTCTGCGAAATCGTCGGGCCGTCCCAAATTGATACCGAACTCGGGACCGTCTAGCGTGAAGTTGTCTATTTCCCCAAGCGCCAAATCCTCCGGTACGGTGAGGAAAACGACGACACCTATCGGCGGACCGGAAGGGATCGCGTTCACACCCATGATTACAGCACCCCCTTCTCCCACGAGCCAGAACCTAATAACTACCTCTGTGTTAACTCTTTCGTCCGTTAAGGTAATACCAGCATCCCTGAAGTCCGGGTCCTCACACATTTCTGAAATGAACTCCGTCATTTCTTCGGAACATTCGAAGTACAATTGGACTTTCCTGTAGGTACCCATTGTTTTTTATTGTATAGAAAAAAAAAATTTTTCAAAAACTGTTGACTCAGCATTTTTTTATTCTTCCTTTTCCGAACAACCCGCTTTTGTACTGATCACATGTTTTCCGACGGTGATCCACCGCTTAGTATTCCAATGAGTGGGATGTACGGTGTTACGTAACCGACGAGGTTTTTTATGTCTTTTCTAAGCAGATCGTTTTCCTCCAGTTCTTTTTTCATTCCTTCGGCATCCTTAACAGCGTCCAACGCCTCCATGAGTTCGGAGAACTTGGTGATGATAACATCAGCTAGTTGGCTGTTTGTGCTCTCCAGACGTTGTCTTTCGTAGTCTTTGTATATATTTTCCAACGTTTTTTCGGATGCTTTTTTGATATATTTTGAGGTGTACTTAATTTCGCCTGCATCGACCAATTTTAGTAGCTTTTCCCTCAGGTCGCTTGCGACAGGTGTCTCAGGCTCTACAGGTTCGAATATGGTTTCCATTCCTTTATTTAATATGCGGAATAATTGTTTCGTGGGTATAGGGTCGGCGTAATAGTATTTCCAGCCTGGCGTAGTCGTTGTTTTTTAGCGTATTGATGATTTCCTTCCTTCTTTTTCCGTGTTTGCAAGGTAGTCGTTCAATATGATGTCTGTATCCTTTGCGCTCGGGTTGTAGAAGGTTACGAGTTTGGATATATTTTCCCTATAGGGTTTCGCAATGGATGTGAGTTGTTGGGTAATGACAATGGTTGATATTCCCATATGCCTAGCGCTAAACCCAAGTTTTACCAATTCGCTGGTCCTGTTTTTAACGGATTGGCTACTAGCACAGTCATCAAGAACGATAAGGCTGTTTGTTCCTCTTGCAAAATGCGAAACGTATTCTAAACACTGGTTTACATCATCCTGCTTGCAGGGCATGGCCATGAAGTCCTTATCCATATTGTATTTCCAGTCCTGGTACGTTTTGTTCCACTCGTATATGGAACATATTAGAAATATGTACTCGAAGTGGTTTTTATAGTCGTTCTCCAACATTTCCAGTAGGTAGTAGGTTTTTCCACATCCGGTCATTCCGAGAATGATCATGCTGAATGGTGTTTTCACCGGTTCCATCCTTTATTTAATAACTAATACCCTGAAGGGTCTTTTCGCTGATGTTTATGAGTCCATCGGATAGCACAAAGATGTTACAGAGGATGTCTTCGGAACTTCCGTCTGTTTCGATTTCCAGAAGGATTCCGGGATTGTCGCCGAGAATCTTTTTCCCACTTCCAACGATATGGCTGTCATCAACAGCTCTCAGATCGATCACCAGTGCGAATTTCTCCTTGTAGAATTTCCTGACGCTTATGTTGTCGTTACAGGCGTTGTTAGCCATTCCGAACAGTCTTTTTGCTTCGTCGTAGAAATTCTCGTATGTTAGTCCCTGACTATATACAGCATTCGGTTTCCCCTCTATCGTGACCTTTACCTTTTCGATACTTGGGAAGACGTATTCCTCGCTGTCGGTTATTGTTCTTTTTCTGAAAAGTAGAACCACTGCCCTCATGCTTTCCCTCGGAACGTCTATGCTCTCGTTAAACCTTGTAGCATCCTTTGCCCACACGGTTGTTTTCAACAGTGTTGTATGTTCTTAGGACAGGGACCTGCCGGTCTCGTATCCTTCGTTTACCCGTTTGGCCAGTTCTTCGTTCTCTATGGTTTCGTATTCCAGGTGTATGTTCTTCAGTGTATATCCTTCCACCTTCTCGTTTGCCTGTGCAACCATAATCTTGTCGGCTTTTGGAAGGGTTATCGTGTACTCGAATCCACTCTTCATGTTGTACGGTGCGTAGGGACCGTGATCATTAAGAATTTTTCCGAGTTTCATCTTTTGCTCCTTGTATACCTTTGCCATCACCATGTCGTAGGCACCTTCCGTTTTTGCGGTCCGATCGGCGCTGTCGTCCTTTGACAGTAACTTTCTTGTGTTCTCGTTCATGATTCCGTATTCTACCATGTTTGCTCTTTTTGAATTCATCTTTCAGAGGTCTTTGTAAACTTCGATGAGACTTTCACCGTTATTGTTGTATACTATTTCACCTCCCACCCTTATCATGAGCCGCTCGCATAGAAGTTTACCGAGGTTGTTCATGAAACAGGATTTGGTGTTTTCGTTCTTGAACTCGTACGACAGGCGAAATGAGTCCGGAACGATACAGGTGTTCGGTTCTAGTTTTGGAACTACGATCCGGATGTCATTTCCAGGGTTGGATTCGTTTGGGGTGAATGTAACGAAGTTACATACCCTGTTCCCTACAACGTTGGAGGTCAGTGCCCTTTTGAAACCGGGCGTAAGTTCTTGACTTCTCTTTTCCATTCCTTTTATTATACCGACCAATTATTAAATTTTTCGAACTTTGGTTTGGGCTCGTCCTGTACTTGTGGTTCTGCCGTGCGATTGGGCTCGTCCATAGGTCTGACCCTACAGTATACGTAGTAGATTCCCCCTAGTGCAGCTGCTGCGACTCCAGCGTAAATTAGCGTATTTACCGAATCACCTTGATCGGAACTATTTTCAATGCTACGTCTTTCTTCAGCCTTCCTTGCTTTTGCTTCTCTAGATATCGCGGCTAGTCTTTTACCCGATTCTACCCTTCTCGGATCCTTTGGTTTTTGGGTCTTTTCTGCCATCGTAATTGTCGGTTCGTCCATCCTTTATTTAATATACTTACTTTTTCAGGATTTCTAGTCAAATTTGGTCAAGTCTAGTCAGGGCTAGTTGCAGCATAACCTCAACTAGATTTCAGCATAACCTTAACTAGGTTTAGCATCTAGTCAAATTCTAGTCAAATTCTGGTCAAATTCTGGTCAGAGCTGGTTGCAACATAACCTTAAGTAGTTTCAAAATCAACTTAAGATAATTTCGAAACCCACTTAAAGAAATAATTTTCTATATAATAAAAGGTATGGACTTTCCTATGACAGTACTGGGAGAGATTCGTCATTTGCCGGAAAAGGAGCGTAGGCTGATGGAAGAGGAGCGTAGGTCGATAGAAGAGGAGCGTAAGTCAATGGAAGAGCGACGTAGGTTAAGATCAAATCCTCCGGATTGGTTGGTCCTCTTCAGGCAAGCGGAAAAGGAGCACTCGGATCTCCTTGCTTCAAAGGAACCTGTGGAGTTTCCGAACAAACACTTTTGTTCCGAGGGACGCAAGCACCAACTTGCCCCCATAAATTGGGAATGGACGTGTCGTGAGTGTGGGCTGATTATCGGCAGGGTCCGCGATCTCTGTTACGACTACGATTGTTGGGACAGTGCGATTACGAGAAGTCGGGAAATGAGCATCGACGATAGGTTCGAATCATTTTGTACCGAAAGGAAAATAACATATTATGATCTATCAGCGCATGAGAGGCGATTGATAGCAGACGACATTTATAAAGTTCGTAATGCAGAAAAACCTAAAGGGAAGAGGTTTCCTAATCTCGATATCCTAACCTATCAGATATGTAGAAGACTTGACATAAAGATGAACGAGAAGCTTCTCAGCATTCCAGCAAGCAGACCACCACACGATCGGTGTAAGGAAATATTCCAGACATTGGGCTGGGAATGTAACGAGTACGGTTGTCAGAGCAAGACAACCACAAAAAATCCTAGTAAAACAACCGCCTTAAAATACGCTTGTGAAGGACCTAAACATGTCCGACATCGACTTCAGATACGAAGGTTTCTGTAAGAGGATGAAAATAACATACTCCATGTTATCGGTAAAGGTTGGAATAGAATCATGGAAGACATCAAAAAGGTGTACGACGCGGAGGAACCGAAAATGAAATCGCTTCCTAACCTCAACATCCTAACCTACCAAGCATGTAAAAAAAGACTTAACATAACAATGAATGAGAAGCTGCTTAATATTCCGGTAAGCAGAGCCCCACACGATCGGTGTAAAAAAGTATTCCGGACGTTGGGTTGGGAATACATTGAGTAATTTTAACGCTTTTTATCAAGCATTAAAATTGGAATAGTAATTTAAGGACGATGATGACGAGAAGAATTTCAACCGTTATCGGGATGAGTAGGCAGGACACCAGACTCATCCACGTTAGTCTCCGCAGTATTTGAGTTTTCGTCATTTATTTTAACGTACTTTTTTACCGTTGTGCTGACGTATCCAATTTGGGTGTGAGCGTTGATAGTGAGATCACCGCGTTCCATACCAACTCCAAAACTGAACATTTTCCTTTTCCGGTGGTTTTTGTCGTACTTCACTTCATATGCGGTTTCGGGTTTTGCGTGTAAACATCCCATTTTATTTATTCTTCTTTTTATTTTCTTCCTTCGTGGTCTTTGCTGATGGTCCCGCTTTGTCTTCCTTTGTGGTCTTTGCCGACGGTCCTGCCTTGTCTTCCTTACACGACGTAACGTACTTGATGTTGGTTGTCTTGGATTTAACGTAACCAAGATTCAACCCACCTCTATTGAGTTTTATATCGACGTTGACGGTTTTATCCTTTTTCAACTTTCCCTTAATCTTGCTGCTATCGCTATTCATTCTTTTATTAATACGGAAAGAAAATCCATCTTGAAGCGATAACCCCACCAACAAACATAGTGCCGAGGAGGTAAACCAGATTGCTTGATGCTTTCGGTATGCTTGTTGTGTTAGGATGCGGTATGGGGTTCTGCTTCTCGCGTGGTATAGGGTTTTGGACCTTTACATCCGGACTCTCCTTTATCTCCTTAGGCTTTGAGTAGTTAACATTCGTATTACTACTAAACTTCATCACAACCTTTGTCGCTAGTGTTAGTGTGTTGTTGTATCCCGCTACTTTTTCCCTGAGTATGATCATATTGGATGGTACCAATATCAGTCCGGGTGATATTGCCATGTTAAGTATAACGTTAGTGTCCTTTATTGCCTTCCTCATATTGGAGATGGATACCGATACATCGTCTTGCGCAACGGTATCTTTGAAAAGTCTGTGAAATACGTCCTGAGTCTGCAGAGACTTCGCCCCCTTACCGACTATAGACCAACGTGTTTGTGCTTGCGCACCCAATACGCAATAGACATAACTTTCGACAGATTGCTGAAGTAGCTTTAATCCCAGGGGTGTCAACCCGTCCGATTTCTTAGCTATGAACTGGGTGTAGTCCGTATCGCTGTTGTTAGTGACCCTGTCTACTTCCTGATAGCTAATACCCATCACACCACCGGTATGGTAGTACGAATACTTGTAGTTTCTGACCCTACTCTTATCCGGAAGTCCGTTATGCCAGAGACCTATTTCCATTTGTCCCCGATGAAATTTGTTAACCCACGTTTTCTGTGTGGGCATGTTTCTCTGCAGGGATTTTAGCATATCCTTCGTTACGTATTTTGTCATTTTGCTCGGATTTCTGAGGAACCTGCGCATGTGGTAGTATAGGTGATACCTAACAATACTTGTGATTACCTTTGAGGTTCCCTTGCTTTCAAGCAGGTGTTCCGTACTTATCCCACACTTATACGTGATAATGTAAGCAGCCAGTATCGATGCAAAATACGGATCGTTTATATAATTGAACTTTACCCTGGTGATATCCTTTGCGGTACCGGTCCACTTCGTGTCGAGATCGGTGAAGTTGGATACAAAGCTGTTGTGGGAAGTGTTAATACAGTCGCAAACATAAATTTCGAACCTATTTATTCTGTACGGAAGTGGATCCCTGTTATGTTTAAAGGTTTGAACGGTTCCGTAATTACCCCATATTCTCTCCCATTGGTAAAGGTACCACGTCCACTTTTTATTTCCCCTGAATGTGTTGGATTTGATGTCGTAACTTTCCGCGTCCGTAACCTTAAAGAATATGTCCTTGGATTCTAGGGTTCCATCCTTTGCAAATGTAACCTTAAAGTCAAATTTAGACATTTAATTTCTGCGTCCGGATATTTCTTCCTAAAATCCTCCTTCATCTTCCGTATTTCTACGGGTACTGCCGCCTTTACTTTTTCGTAGTTCTGTCCGTAATAGTTGCGGAACATGTCTTCACCGGTACTCATTTTATTTAATACATATAATAAAAATGAAGAAGTTAACGGTGTTTATCGAGGACGGAACTACCGAGTTTTTTCCGGACAAGTGTATTACGACGAACGCAGGGTCAGAATTAATCTTAAAAAATGCAACCATCTACTGGGCTTATAAAAACGTACGTTTGAATGTCAACGATAATATTACCTATGGACAGAAGAAGATTACCTTCGAAGATGGCTACTGGACCTTCGATGCAATAAAGAAAAAACTGAAGATAGACGGAATAAAAATAGAACGTAACACACACAACAATACTTGCAGGATCTACCCGGCAACCGGGACAGACCTACATTTAAACGAATTTGCTCCACTAATAGGATTCCCAGAAACGGAGATCCTAACCCCCGGAGTATGGGAAAGATCCCCCTATCCTATAGGTATTAATCACGGTCTTAAATATATTACCATCGACTGTGATGTTGTTAATACATCCCTAAATTTTGACGTAAACGGTAAAGGAAGTTTTACAGTGAGCACGTTACCCATGACATCCGACCAGCATCTGAACGGAACAACAACGTTTTTCAAGAATATTGGAAGTAGGGTTTATGTTAATAACGGTTCCCACAACAGATTCTCCTTCAGTATCAATACGAACATCGACGATAAGGTCGATATGTCCGCATTCCTCGAATTTTATATCACATAAATAAAATGGAAGACGAACACTTTATTACCGAACAAGGGTTAAGGGATATCTACTACAATCCGGGTACCGGCTATCAATCCGCGGAAAAGCTCTACCGGAAGGCAAGGGAAGAGGGGCTGAACGTTAGCCGAAAAATAGTGACGGACTGGTTAAAAACCCAAGACAGCTACACAAGGTATAAACCTATCGTTAGAAAGCACAAATTCCAGAGGACATTCGTTAAGGACCTGGCGGACCAAGTGCAGATGGATTTGGTGGATATGGGAAAATACAAAAATCAGAACAAAGGATATTACTGGATACTA